TGTATGTATGTATGTATGTATGTATGTATGTATGTATGTATGTATGTATGTATGTCTGTCTGATTATTGTGTACCTCTCTCCCAATCTGTCCACCCCGTACGCACAGGAACTGGGCTTTCAGCACATCTCTACAGGCGAGTTGATTCGGAACCAAGCCAAGGACGACAACTCTGAATATGGCGCAGAAATCCTGAAGTATCTCAACATTGTCCCCCTTATACCGTCCGAGATATCGTGCAATTTGTTACGACAGGTAAGGTGCTGGCATACTTCATTGTACGCAGTAATAAATGTGTGGACAACTGCAAGTGCAAACAAGCCATGTTTGAGAGCTTTTGAAAAATAGCTGGTATTTTTATTGGTAAATTATATTTGAGTCAAACATTTCAACTTTTGCTTGATGAAAATATGGGTCTCAGATACGTTTTCAATGTCAAAATACCCGTATTTAATCAAAGGTACTATGATTCCTTAATTGAAAACTCTGAAAAGAATAAATCGCTTTGGGAAAGCCGTTGTTGATCAGGATTTTTTATTTGGTCCTAGTTAAAGTAAACATGAGCCTTCGATTCAGATCTTACTTTTCATAGTACCCGTATCCGAAGTCTCCACTTTCTGTGGGGCCAATTTTTGGTCGCTTTAACGTCATACATGATAAAAACCTTTAACAATTTAAAAACTAAAAGAAACTAAAAGCAACATCCCAACCCCTCCTCCCCCTCCCCTCACCAAAGAACCCCCAAACTGACTTGATCACAACTAAGATTTGACGTTCATTTTTTTCATACCAGGCCATGGAGCAATGCACAGATCAACAAACGTTCATAATAGACGGGTTTCCCCGAAGCCAGGAAAATTTTGAGAGATGGGAGAGCACTTTAGTGGACCAGGCTATTCTACAGAAAGTCGTTGTCATCAATTGCTCAGACCAGGTAAAAAAAACGACAAGCAAAAAAGAAGAGAGTAATGATAATAATATAAATGCCGAAGATTAGAGGTGTTACAAGAGAGTAACAAACACAAAAAAGAAGGAACAGAGATAAAGACGACAAATGTTTGATAGGAAAGAAGAAGCAAACCACACCAGAGCATCCACCAACCTCCCACAATTTACCTACGTTACGCACATTTGTCGGTTGGATGTTACCATGATGCAATTTTCTAAATACGCTTTCAATTAATTTTAAGTTTTTGGAAAGTGAAAAAAAAGGGGGGGGGGGGGGGTCAAACTTGTTTCGTGTAAAATCATATTTCCTTTACTTCTCAGAGCTTGGGAGCAAGCAGGTATTAAATTTTCTCTTTTTGTAGTATGTAAATGTAGAGAAATACTACTGGATTTTTACTCTCTCCTTGGTAAGTGTTATGATGATTTCCTTATTGTTGTGCAGGTGTGTAGGGACAGGTGTCTTCAAGTGAGAAACAGAGAAGATGACAGTGACTTCAGGGTGAAAGACAGGTAGGTGGAGCAGGTCGGAGAGTAGGAGGAGGAGGAGGAGGAGGAGGAGGAG